CCCTCCGCCCCCGAGAGCACAAATTTTTGTGCACCGGGCCTCTAGCCTACACTAATAAAAGAGAAACATGGTAATTGGCGTATGACCCCTACCCTTTTCATTGGCTAATCAGCAAGATATGCAAATTAACTGTCAGCCAACATGGTGGCCGGCAGCCAGGAAGCTTGAAACTAACATGAGGCTTGCTTGCTTCAGTGACGGAGGACTCCAATGATCTCAAAATAAAAAGTAAAAAATAGTTGTTCTACTTTTTCTTGAAGGTTCATGTTTTAAAACCATACAAATGTGAATCAATTCTCCTGTTATTTGTCTTCCCTTGTAAGAGTAATCTACATAATTACAAACCTATCTCTAGACATTATACATTGAGCCAATAGTATAAATGTCATCTAGTGAAGCATTTAGATGATTTAATAGAGTGAAATTCAGGTGAGAGTATGGCAAAAGACGTATTCATATTTCTAATAGAGAAAAATAAAACATTTTTAAAAACTGTATAAATTATTTCAGTTTCTTAAAAACATCCTACTATAACCTAAACTCTACTTAAGGATGCATTGGCTTTTTATATTCACAACAAAAATTGTTGATCTGCCTTTTAATTGTTTCACTATTATTCTAAAAGCCTTCCTAATCATTTTTCTGAATATAGAAGCACTAAAGGCCTAAAGATATACATACCTGACAGTTTTAATTATTCGGCCATTCTGAGAATTTGAAAGGCCTTAAGTATATTTGTATTTTATAATCTTCTCCACACCAAACATAATCCAATGTAACCACATGGCACATTTAGTGCAATTAATAAAAAAAAAACCCTACAAATATTGAGATGCAGTTGACTAACAGACATATGTTTTATTTTGGAGATAATTAATTAGACAGTTATTAATTTCAACTGTGCAATTTTCTCTTTGTATTTTATGAGCAATAATTTTTGAAGGGAAGGGGAAAGGGATCTCAATAATATTTAGAGAATCCTGAAGACTCGTATGTCCTACATAATGTACACATAAACTAGAATGAAAAAAAAATAGTCCTGACTTTAACATGGCTAAGCAGAAAAATTCAATTTATGGATGTGGAACGAGGTAGTATGATGGGGAATTAGTAGAATGAACAGTGTTCCCAGAGCCACAGCGCTGGTCTCTGAAGGTACGGCAGCGAAAACGAACCTGAGCATGTGGGCAGCATTGAAGACCACATCAAACTCTGTGCTGTCCAGCTCCGCTGCTGTTTTTGCCATCTCGGCTGCTTCTAACAGGCGCGCTTCTTCCAGAAGAAACTGACCTGTAAAGGAGGAAAGCAGAAGAGCTCCAACTTAGAAAACAATAACCCTTTGAAATAAATAAAGCTGCTATAGAGAAAAGTATAAAAGCAGTGATTAAGGTGATATAAAGCTAAGAATTACATGCGCCGTATACATAAATGCTCATATGTACGCGTATTTAACAGGCCTTTCTTTGCATTGCAGGACACTGCAATGCATCTGTCTTCTACATTAACGATTTTTTCTTAATAAAATCCTGTATAGACTGTTGAAGCAAGAAATAAAACGAATAAAAGATACGTTACAAATAATACTATAAAAGACATACCATGTTATGTAAAAATGTAAAAAGAAAACAATTTTTAAAGCCTAATGGGAAGAATATTATTTTCGTTCCAGTTTTACTAAGAAATGAATGACACATATCACTGTGTAAGTTTAAGGCACACAGCTTGATGGTTTGATTGGTATCTTTGTGAAATGATTACCACAGCTTTCTAATATAAAAGTGTGCGAGATTTAAGGCATTGTATCAGTCCTGTTGCTGAATCTGCAACTCAGGTGCAATATATTTCACTAAGCCACCAATCAACTGGTTTAAACATTCACCTGTAAATTCATTACATGTGATACACAAGGAGTATAAAATTTAATTATTAGCTATAAATCTTTGAGGTCCTGGGACGATAGTTCCTTTGTAGGAAATAAAAGATATTTACCAATAGGAGTTTAGTTGATATTAATTATTGGTCCTTTAAAATAGCTTCTGTCTCTGATGCATATACACTAAAAGGGCTATGCATACTGAGATATATTTAAGTAACAGGAAAATTATTAAAAGAACATAGAAAGATCGGCTTAGCTCTTAATTAGATTAACTGTTAATTAGATTCACTGGCAAACGTGGAAGAAATATTAACTGATTCAGATTTCTGTGATTCCTTTCAGGCCAGCTCTACAAGGTTAAAATCATTGCAGATAGAGCCACACAAGTCTTTAAAGCTGTACCTCCAGAATTGTTTGTTATATAATGCTATCCCAGAATCACATAGTAAAAGCAAAGAAAAAAACATAAAAGTTGAGCTCAATTTTAAGAGTGTAACTCTGCAAGTAGAGAGAATAGACGCTTCTTCAGAGCTAGGGCTTTTTAACAGTAAAAGTTTTGATGTTAAGCCTCATCTGATGCCGCTTGTAAAATGAAAACCAAATCAAGGGATGACAGAGATATGCAGAAACCACCCGACAGGCTTACAGAGTTGTGACCTAATGATTATTTCTTTTTGTTTGGGGTTTCCTGTTAGCAATACAAAAATAGTTTTAGAAATGATTTTTAAGTCCTAAGCTGCACACAGAAAACAGAAAAGAATAAAAATGGTAAATCCTCCCAGGTGGCTCTGGAAGAGGCATTAGCTACTGTTCATCTAATAAATAACACAAATCGTCTTCTAACCCATAGAGACCAGTCCTTAATGTACCAGGAGAAATTTCCTGCTTTCAGCAATAAACCACAGCCACTACCTATCCGTAAGCATTTCTAATCTTCAATTGGTAAAGAATGGTAAGTACAGATAAGCCCTGGATTTCAAGCCTGCATTTTTCAATAAACTGACAGTTCTCAAATCAGCACTTGGAGATGTATCAGCTGCTTCTACAAAAAACTTTGTATCACTTTCTTAGTCGCCTGACATTCTGTGCCTTTCTCATCTCCCAAAGTAAACATAATTGTTGGGTTAGATAATGATTAAGGAAACAGGGTTGTGAGTAGTTACATTTATAAATAGAAAAACACATTACTCATAAAATTCATGTATGTGCTAACTCTACAAATATGTTGATGTGGCATTCAATTTAAAGTGTACATGCTTTACAAAAAGTAAACAAAAGTTAGACAATGTGTAGCATACTGAATAATTACTGTCTCCTCATATATATATATAAGTAAAGGATACCAGGCTAAATAAACCCATTCTTCAGTTAGTTATGCTCATTATACATTGTTTGAATTAAAATGTAATGTTAATTGCTACATGTCTTCAAAACATGTTTACCTAAAAAAGTATTAATATATTTATTAATTATGTGACACTTAAAGAATGATGTCAGAATTTATTAATCGTTCTTTTTCCTTTTCAGACAGTTATTAACTCTGAAATATATTTTGTTATCAATAGTTAAAAAGATGAAATGATTAACTGAATAATGTAAGTTTTCTTAAAATTCATCACTCCAGACAGTAGAGGAAAAGAAAGACATAATAGCCCAGATGAAAAAGAGAAAAAAGGACATGATATCTATTCTGTCCACATAGAAGGGGTCAGTGACAAGATGTCTATGTGCCATAATAATGACAGTGGCATAAGAGATGGGTTTAAATGCAATGCCATGCCCCTGAGCAAAACTCTTCTTCTTTTAAAAAAGATATTTTTAGAGATAGAGGAAGGGAGAGAGAGAGACAAACATCTAAACATGGATTGGCTATCTCCTGCACATGCCCTACTGGGGATAGAGCCCACATCCCAGGCATGTGCCCTGACTGGAATCCAACCTGCAACCTTTCAGTGCATGGATGACACCCAACCCACACTGAGTGACACCAGCAGGGACCAGGGCAAAGCTTTTCCAAGCTATGTTAATGTTAAACACATCTGTAACGATTCAAAATCACCAACAAAAGAGGAACATTAACAATTGTGTAAAATCAAATATACAATTTTATCATAATTTTTACTTATGCTTTATGTTAGACTTCCCATTGAACATGCTTTCTGTAAACAGTTTGCAAATTTTCAAAACAACATGAAACACATACTTTTTTTATTGTAAATGGTGACAGAAATAATTCTCATATAGTAATTTTACAACAGTAGAATGCATTCATCATATTAACATTCAGAAAAACAATATCACAACATATCAGTTAGGTATTTGCATAATTCCCCCCATTCTGTTCTTGACAGGCTATAAATCTCAATAGTCCAGCGTTGATATTATTATGATAAAGGCATAAAGTACTATGAAGTATAAATCATTTGGTATCTGTTTTGTAACTGAGTTTGAAAACATGAGCTGAAGTAGAAAGTAAATTCTTATTCTTCTATGTTTATAATGATTGTTTTGATTTGTTTTTAAAATATAGCCCAGAACTGATGACAGAGCAATAAGCATTTCAAATCCATAGAACGAACATAAATCGGTAAACAAATATATACCAAGTTCCTTCTTAATAACTATCCAAAAACCTAAATTGGTATGTTATTAGGAGAATAATAGGAAACACAATTTGCCCTACTCCTTCCAGAAGACTTTATCTCAAATCACTCTTCCTCAACCAACTTTATTACTAGAGGCCCAGTGCATGAAATTCATGCAAGAGTAAGCCTTCCTTCTCTGGCTGCCAGCACCAGCTTCCCTCTGGCACCCAGGACCTGGGCTTACCTGTGGCTGCCAGCAGGCACCAGGGACCTGGGCTTCCCTTGCAGCTCCGGCTTTGTTTGCAAGGATGTCTGGTCTAATTAGCATATTACACTTTTATTATTA